GGCTTCTCTTGCCGGGGGTTTCCACAAGGTGGTAGTGTGGGCACTTCCGAGGCATGGCTGGATACGGGTTTTATTTTGAAGTTGGGTCCGTGGCTTGGGAGGCTTTAATTCCCACGGCGTCTTCTCTTCTGCCTTGTAAAATGCCCGCTGCATGTGTGTTTTAAAAACAAGCAGGCTTTTGTAGCTTAAAGGGTTTAACAGCCGGACTAGCGTTAGCAGCGCGCTGAGCCTTGGACACCACACGAACGGGCAGGCTTTTTTAAGGGGAAGTTTTTAGCCATATGACAGCGGGGCGGGGGGGGAGAGGGGGGGAAGCAGGGTCGAAGACGGACTACAATGTGAAGGACCTCCTCTGTATTTCATCTGTAGATCAAGTGCACCAGCCTAAACCGCGGTAGCCGTGGTGATGCAGGAAGCAGAGCGGAGACCGATGTAGCCATTTGAACTATGGCCCGAGGTGCCTGCGCTTTGCGTTTGGCGTCTGTAGGCTTGGTGGGGGTACTGCTGGTCGTCATGATGGCACAAATGCATATACGTTTTTTAGATGCTTTCAACTGAAAAAGAAAGTGCACCCCCCCCCAAAAAAAAAAAAAAGTGCCCCCCCCCCCCAAAAAAAAAAAAAAAAGGAGCTCTTCAGCTGTGTTTGATCAGCATTGAAACAAACGTCTGTAGAAGTCTAGACCGATTTTTGTTTTTAAGTGATTGGTAGTGTTACGGTTATTTGCATGTGTTTTGAAGCAGGGGATTAGAAAGCAAGGGGGAACTGGATGAATTTACAGGGAGTTACACCAAAATGGACCTCTCTGGTGTTCCCCTCCTCTGAAAACATACAGTTGCAAGTTTAAATACCTCAGAGAAATGGAAGAGCAGTAGTCTGCATCCTATGGGACACAATTTAAGTCTATTAATTATTAGATGTATAAATCCTCTCTTAGTATTAAAAAAAAAGTCACCTTAAGAGAAGTATTTCCACTAATTTTAATTCCTGGATAAAAACTCGAGATTGCTTTGTACAAGTGAGATAATTGTTATGTTTAATGAACTCTACATTTTATTTTCATTTTATTTACAAAATATGCATTTTACATCAGATCTATTAATAGTGGCTATAGATAACACTATGTCTTAAGGCAGGACATATCAAATATTTTTACTTACAATACTGGTTAGGGGGTTGCGTGTACAGTCATAAGCATATTCCAGTGAATCACTAAAGACTAAGGACATGAAAACATGCCATGCAGTTTCTAGTAATGCGAAACCAGATGATGTATGATGACATGTAGTTATCTAAGAATAATGCATAATTGAATTAAATTTTGGCCCACTCATTCTTCGCGTCTTGGCATTGTTACCCCTTTGTACATAAATACAGATGTTATTGTTCTCTCTTCTCTGTTCATGTGCCTATATATCCTATAAATGCAATTATTATTGGTGTACTGTGTGCAAGTACAACTGATTAAGTTGTACCAGGTATTTAAAACTGAAACTCGGTTTGGCATCCAAAAAACATTGGTCCTCATGAGGATTCTGATTCAGAGCTATTTTAGATCATTTTTTTCCCCCTTTGATTTTAATGTCCTTTAGGATGTGTGTCTACTGAAAAACATATGTGTGGACAATAAAATACATTTTCTTCCTTCTGCTTTCCTAGGGGGACTGATTACTTGCCTAGTATTGTTTAAAAGTGCAGTGTTGTAACACAACACTTATAGATTATAAATACAAAAATCTGTTAATTCCCAATGCTTTTTTCTTCTCCACTAAAGTATCAGTAAGAATTGTGTTTTTGTTTTTGTTTTTTTTTTGAAGTCATCACAATGCAAACAAATAAAAACAAGCCCCATCGCGTCAATGAAACAGGCCAGTTGGATTAAATTAGGATAACGGATAAAATTGGTAATTTTACTGGAGTTCCTATATATTTTTTGTTTGCACAAAGACTTTAGCTCTTTAGCTGGTCCTATGTTCCTGGACAGAACATTCAGCTGAAAATTTTTACATTTGATAAAAATGTCAATCTTAGGCATCCGTCAGCTGAAGACTTGTCAGGCAGAGATGAAGGCAAGAGGTAAAAAGAAAAGCTGTTAAACTTTATATTAAAAGATATCATGTAGAAACAAGGATTTATTTGGCTTTTTTAAACAAAAGAGTGATTCAAGGAACATTTACTGACTACTGCATAGAGGTTTGCACATTTGTTTTTGACAGGTTCTCAATACAGCCTCCTCCTGGCCTTTCAAACATGCATGCTGCTATTTGATGGCTGAATCACATAGTGTAAAGAACAGCTCCACCTGGGTAGGACAGGAATAAGCATCATGCTATAACCAGCGTATAATTTAGTCATTCTGTCACTTGCAGACTTGTCGTAGAGACTCAGGATCTCTTCTGCGTGAGTAAGATTCGTTAGTTACGTGGACTGGATTATCAGGCCCCGTTTTTTTCTTTTTTTTTTTTTTTTTGAAATCCTAATAAAACCAAGACATACATAAACATGAGCTCACCAGTGAGCTACTGAAATCAATATAAGGCTCTCATTTCCTTCTGCAGCTATCTGTCACAGTTCAGCCCAGGTGCGCTCAAGCACTGTTTGTAAAGCATTTATGCTCTGAGCCATTTCGATCCCCACGTCTGATGGGGTTATGTACTCGACTGTCACCTTTTAATAGTTCTCATTGTATTTATTTTAGTGGTCCCCCCACTGGATTTGCAAAAAACAGCCCCATGCCCCCCACACACTCAAATCCGTTCTCCCCTCTCCTCCCCCAGCCTTTGCTGTCTGATGAAAAAAGAAGTTTTATTGGCACTCTTTCTGGAAATAAGAGAGATGAGACACAATGAGGTTCAGCTTTTCACAATTTGAAAATAGATTTAAGGTTAGAAAAGAGACAATTGAAAAGTATATTTTATGGACAGTTTACAATAGGTGAATTTGAAAGGTGAGAAATTATTCTGAATTTTACATGCAAGTTCATCTCTCTTCAAATCCCTGTAAAATGATTGGGAGATTTTTCTGAATTTTGACATTAAAAAATAAGCTGTATCTGAAACAGCATTGCTTCATTTTCTACATGCACAATGTGCATGACGATCTGTACATCAGTAGTCCTTCTAGAACATTGCCTTTCCCTGTGAGATTCATAGTGGGGCTTTACTACTAGCATTGCTAATTCAAGCAGAATGCATTTCCATGTACTGGAAAGATCTCTACCTAGAAATGTTCAGATTTATACTGTAACAATCTAAAAATAAATTGCAGCTGTTGATATCACAGTGCGTGATTCTGTCTTTCTGCTGCGTTCAGCGCTGAACCCACACATCACTTAGTGTTACAGGGTGTATTTTGGTAAGTGTATGCTGCTGACTAACTTCAGCAGAGGACTGAGATTTCTCATGCTCATCTTTCTTGTTATTTATGTGCTTACTGAGATTTGCAACCTGATGGAAAGGCTGAGCCTTCTAAGCGAGGTAAGCTTTGAAAATGAATGACACTCTTATTAGAAAAAAATATTAGAGATGGTATCACAACTGGATTGATTTGATTCACTCTGAAGGCTAGAGAAGGACATAGCTGTTACCATTTTCTATTATTCAAATTTCTTTCTTTAAAAGTAATTTTCTTATTGCTTATAGAGAGACTATTTTAAATATTGTGTAACTTCACACTGAAGAGTGATTATG